GACACACAGATTGGGAATGTTAAATCGTGAAATGCCCATGGACTTGGGATGCCTCGCTGTTGAAGGATAGCTAAAGCCGCGGTTGTTCAAGATTTTGGCCACACACATCTTGAATTCGTGTCTGCATGGGATCAGATACTATACTAATCAAATTTCAGTTCGTATGTTCCTCTCAATCTATCTGCATCCCAGCTAGCAACATTCGCAAGGCAAGCGATGCTGTCCGTGTTGGCGAGCAGGTACGGTTTGATAAAAGAGTTTGAATTGGATATTCTGAATTTTAATGCCACGATAGGGGATGGAAGTCCCAAGATGTTTTGCGATATCGTTTTTCTTCTTACAGCGAGCATCGTGGGTGTCTGTAAATGACTGAAAGATGAGTGAGAGCGTTTCCTTTGTTTATCTGCTCCACGACAATGCAAATGCTTGACCTGTCTTCGTTGCATATACACCCACCCGCAGCTGGATCCCCCGTACGAATAGCCGAGAGATGATCTTGGCCGGTTGCCTGAACCACTGGTGAAATAAGGTTACAAGTGCTATATCTTGAACGAAGAACCATCGACAGAAGTGAACAATGCCGTTCTCCAAGTATTTTTTGCAGGTTTGTCGAAGACGGGTGCCCGTACACAGAGACAGGAGCTATGTCAGTGCGAAGGGAGTCCGGATCGCCTAACTGGATAAAATTTCGGCAGGTGACGCTCAGGCGACATTTCCGAACAAGAGAAGTCATGGTGGACAGTACAGTTACGAGGCTAAACTCTTCAATGGCCGGGTGAAATTAGGCCAACGGTACATCCTTTGGCGTCCGCAGCTATTTGCACACATGTGAGCGAACTAATTTATCCATATTATTTAAGCCATAACAATGTACTACAGCCAGCGAGATGCTGTGGATGTGACGCGGCAATAAGAAGCTGCCAATTATTTCTAATCGCTGATGCGGATCCAGAGAAACTGGTACCTTCTTGCGACTAAGAGCGGATTTGTTCTAGAGATGCAGACGGTGATTTGCCTTCCCAATATAACGGAAAGCTGAGATAACGATGCATCCGGTTGAGATGTTGATATGGCGATCAATTGAAGATATGTCCAAACTAATAGTTGTGCTAGCACGATGTGCGACGATATTGAGGGTAGGTGACTACTTGGTTAGTTGATAGGCCAGTGGTAAGAGTCTTCGGGAAGCGTTCTGTGACGATCCGCCAAGGCCGCTCGGTCCCGGGTAAAGATGAAGACATCGTCAACATAAGCCACGCAGTGTATAGGGCTAGCGGGTCCTGACAACGATTATGATGCAGGCTTATGGAATGCCTCATCCAAAGTCATGATGAAGCATAATCTGGATACTGGGTCCACTTACCGGACAATCCTCCGCTGATGAATGCTGGTCACGTTAGCAATGGAAACAGTGGAGGCATAAGAGAAAGAAATATTGCTCAACTGGAGCAATGGGCGCCAAAAAAAGTGACGGTTCGAAATCATGTACCGTAAGAAACGGAGTCAAAAGATATGAAGAAATCAATTTAGGCGAAGGACCATGGTGGGATTAACATGAGAAGAACGAAGCACGGTGTGAACAATAGTCCGAACTTCAAAACGGGGTCCGTGAGATCAGACAAGGCCTCGCAACTAGTCGACGACTTCGCTGAATTGAGCCTGGCAGAGACTGGCGCCAGGCACCCTGTGAGGCCCGGTTACAAACTGTCTAAGCGACGGGGTCGGTGTCATTGCAAATGCTGCAAACTCTCATTAGAGCTGGGACCGTACGCTTCTGGAATGTTTGAATCAGACGTAATGAGTAAATAATTTGCCGCTAGGTGAACTGGTCACCGACTTTTTTGAGGAAGCTCTGTGTCAAAATCAAAAGGTTGCCCAGTGAACACATTAACCGGTTTTTCACAACGCCCATTGAAATGATGACTTCAGGATCGGTTTAAAGTGTATTCCGTGACACCAGACGCCAATTCTCCTCCACGAACCACATTATGCTAGGTGATATGGCCCGCGAGGATATGAATTTCTTGCGATCCATCGTCGTCCGTGTTATGTCACCGCCCGTCTAGTTTAACAATAATTGTCGGAAATGGGGTAAGTATTGTTTGGAGCATCCTCTATCAGAGAATGTGCACGGTGACTGTTCCCCAGCATGCCATTTAAGGCGTACCGCGGTCTTGAATCTGGTATGGCAGGTGTGGCAATCTCTGTGAGGTTTCGATGAGGGCGAACATAATGAGGCCGTAAGATCCGAAATAGTGAAATTCAATGTAAACAAACGGTGAGATTGGTGGACAAGCAGCAAGTGTCAGTTTAGGCTGGCGTGTCCATGCCGTGGAGGGGTGACTACAAAGTACACGTAGTGGAGGAATTAGAGAAGATAATGAACGGTGGAGCATCAATAGACCAAAAAGCCATGAAGCAAGGATATAAATAAATGACGAAACAATGCGTGACAATTCGAAACGCAACCAGTCGCAGAATGTTGTATGCAAAACTAAGGAAGCGAGCAAAATTTGGGATTGAGAAATGGACAAAAGCAGTGCATCAGGAACGATGGGATCCATGATGTATGAGTGGATACAAATGGGTTTAGTTAATTCAACTACTCACAAGTAGGCGGAACATATTGACAAAATGAGGGCATGGTGATTGAACGATGGAGCTAGTGCTACCAATGACATTGTGATTACGAGTGTTGAAAGATTCGCATCAATGAGATACAGTGAACCGTGGAACGCGATACACTGTCTACGCTAGGAATAAAGCGCATGATTTTTCGTTGGTTCCTGGTAAAGCATATAGTGCCGAAGCCGTTCCCGCGCAGCCCGCGTGGGAAGGTCACGCAATCCTTCAGATGAGTACGTCGTCTGCGCCCCTCCCCCCATTTCGAAAATGACGATCGCAGACATGACAGGTATTGTTCTTTGTTGAGTCTTGGATTGCGACGCACAATCTCGATTGAGACTTGCTTTGTAGCAAGCCTCAGCCATTTCGATTACTGGGACTACATTTTAAAGTGGGGAACTTCGGAGCTGCTGTCCCCCTAATACTGCTCTGTACGACCGACTGGTTTCGTCTGATTTGAACTCGTCAGTTAAGGATAGTCTGAGCTGAGAATGGAGGCCCACTGATCGCGGAGCTTTGGCTTGGTGACCAATGCGTAAGCCGCCCACCACTATGTGTCGTGTTCCACTCTCAGCTCAGGCTATATCTACATGACCAGTCCAAATCATCACGAAACCGGTCAGTTGTAGAATGCACTGTTGAGAGAATTAAGTTCCCATACAGCACAGGACAGGTATTAATTTTAGCGTTAATTAACCGACAATCCGCTGGGTCTCTAAGGTGATATCCAGCGGGTATTACATGACCTGCTGCAGCAGGGAATCCGGTTTGGCAGATATGATCTCCATGTGAGTCGTTCAACGATGTTGACATGGATGAGGCCGCAAGATTGGAAATGGCGAAATCCAATATAAATCATTGGTGAGATGGGTGGACAAGGAAAAGGTAGCAGTTTAGGCTGACAACCTCATACCGTGGAAGAATGGACAAGGGGTAGAGCGTAAGTAATCTAGTGAAAGAAATCGTCAATATTTATGATGCAACATTGCAAGTTCAAATAGCCCTAGCGGAAAGAGAGAATTAAGTGACAAAACAACGCACGATAACTCGTAACATACTCATTCACGAGGTTTGACAGCTACGAAAGCGAGCAAAAGATGGGGATTAAGAGGTGAAAAAATACAACTCAGCGAAATAGAAAGAATCCATGGCTTTGGAGCGGCAAATGATTTACTGACTCCAACTACTCACAAGTGGACAGAGAATGGTATAGGTAGCGATTTAGTACATCCAGGCTCTGTAAGATAGCCATCACACACCTGGAGAAGCACTGTGCGGCTGTTTCATCCTTTCGGAAACCGTCAGCATTGCGCATTCCACTAGATCCGTGTGGTGCTTGAACTCGCAACTCGATTGTTGCCTGTCAGTGGCTGGGACCACTGAGCGGCGCTATATCACATCTAGTAACTTATTTACGATGGTGGTTGCAAGTGGAGTTGCAAGTTCGAGCCATACCCGGAGTCCGATGGAATGCGCATTGATGACGATTCCCGAAAGGATGAAACGCGCCTACAGTGCTTTCCCGGGCGTGTGACGACTGTCTGAGTGCGTCTAGATGTGACGAATTTTGATCTACATAAATGGAGATAGTAACGACTGAATATCGGAAAAATAGGGGTATCACAGGTGAACGAAAATAACATTAGTATCAGTGATACGAATTGTGGTTACGCCACTGAGAACAGTAATAGTGAAATAAGTAGTTACAAGAGGAGGGGCAGTTTATCACTTGGAGTGGATTATGGTAATTGATAAAGTTGGCCAAAATGGTGGTTTACAGCCATCGGAAATGAGTGGGAATCAGAAGTGAGACAAATTTCGAACCAGGAAGTAACACACATGCGTAGGCTGGACGACGCTATCTAGCGAGCTCTGGAATCAGGGGCACTGTCTTTAATCATAGGCTTCGGCATAAAAATTTCTCCGCAAGTCAGCGGGAAGGTGGCGGCGATTCGATTTCACAGCAATGGACGCTATCCTATTTCAAACCTTTAACCTGTAGGAACATGAGTTCTTCTCACTTCTATTTAATGACCAACCTGTGCCCGGGGGAACCACCCATTATAGCTCAGCGGGTCGAAGAAGCACGGAAACCAGCTCACCACGTTAAAGTCCAGTCTCGTTACGACGGTTTAGCATACTTCGCCATGAGCGGGAAATGTAGACTTCGTCGTCCCGGCTTCCACTACACGGAGCGCTAAGTGGTAGCACTTCCTGTCGGTGTGTGTTTCAGTGCACAGTTTAGACACAATGGTAGACAACGCGTGTTCAAATAAACAAACGCACAAGTGTGTATACCGTTCAATATCGACCGGCATTGTAGATGCAACCTCTATAAAACCAGATGTATCTCGGTGATATGGTTTTCGCAGTCGCTTTGTTTAACCAAGCGGTTCGTCATCCGGAGTTAACTTGGATGCAGTACGCTGTTGTTCGTTCTCTGTTATTCTCCATCACCTTCTTCCTGTGTGCCACTTTGGGAGCACAATCAAACACAAATTTGTACGAAGCAATTAGGAATAATGCTAATACGAGTAAAGTAAGTTCGTCTCATCTATCTTGGTACCCATTTCTCCCGCATTTGTCCGGAGCGATTGAACAACACAAAGCTAACATTCCTTTCAAACAACAGCGTCAATGGAATGGACCAATATCTAGCCTTCCTCGGTCTAGGCAACTAGGCCGTACTAGCTAATTTCAGAAAAAATATCTGCATTTAACTGTATACTACAGATCATGTGGATATGCATCGTGAAAGTAGTACGTCAAGCAACGAATTGACTGAACTGTACACACGCAAATACATGACAATTTGTTATCTGCTCCCAGCCCGCTACTACGACAACTCCAGGTTCGCAATTGCAACTTTCTGCACAGGCGGATTTGGGTCAAGTTGTTTTACTGCCACGGCCTCAGCGTACCATAAACTTCATGGTTTCATGTACCTATGTATGTACGGAGTGGCCAAGTTGTCACGTTAGCTGCACAAATTTCATGATGTTCTACATTCTTGCGATATTTACTATCGACTTGAAAGTATAGATAGTAATTTTAATAGTTTGCAAATAGTGTTGCGAAATATCCGAGTGAGGTCTTGCATGTGAGGTCATTTTGCACGTCTGATGTGAACAAATCGGATTAAGCCTTTTGGTTTGTCCGGTTTTTCGTGAGCCTCGAGTTGTGCTTCAGTAGTTGCAAGCAAAGAGGTCCGAAGCGCTGCTGCTGTCAATCCTTCTGATAGCTCGAGTTGGATAGTTTACTAGATAGACGTCCAATGAGTGGTCTACACAGGGTTTCTAAACTTTCTTTAATCACCCATACGTCTGATTCCAAAAATGTTGCTGCAACGCTCAAGGATGAGGCGGTTAAGGACATTGAGAAATTCGATTTTGACAGGGGTGTATGGGTTCTATGGCATATGTTAGCCATAGATTGTCAGGCTCACGCCATTTGACATTTGAACCGCTCCGAAAAGTTGTAGTTGGAATAATGGCGTGTTCCGAAGTTACCAGCAATTTTGCACGAATGCACTTCACGATAAATTTGGATGGTTCTTTAGGGATCGAGAATATGAAGAATATGACGGTTGATTTGTTAACTGGGAATTTGTCGTGTGTCACACCATTTTTCAAGTAAATCGAGGTCTTTCTGGATGAGTGACATTGTGGTCTGTAGTTCAACTCGTTAAAACTTTAATGTTATGGGCAAATAAGAATGACCTACTGTGTTTGATGGACATGCCGATATTGTTATTATATATAGAGTAGGCAAAGCGAGAAACCAAGTACGCTTCCCTGGATCGGATCACTGGCTAGTATACTGGGGAAAATTAATGGTCACACAAGGGAACAAGCGGTGAACGTCCAACCAAAATAGGAGTTATAATGTTAGTAATATAACCGACCTGGGGGAATCACGTCACAGGCATGCAGGTGTTTGCCTTCCCCCAGGTACGTATTATTCAATACTTGTGACTTCATGGCCTTGAAAAAGCCAGTCTGAATTGTTGTGTGTTATAAACGTTTGGTCATATGGCATCGATAGAACAGTTCTCCTAATTCGAAATACTATTAGTTGGAGCAGCTACCACCAGGGGACTAGCAAGCACTCTAATCGTATATTTTTCGAAACGATGTTTGCTAGCCCAAATGTTAATTTAAAATGAATACATCACTTTTAGTGATCTGTTTGATTACTACGCTTACAATGGAATAGAGACTTCAGTCGCTTGTATGAAAGTTCCGAAATTACCACCTTGCCCATCGCCACGCTTTTACTTAATCCACTGTGAAACGTCTAGATAGTAACCCGAGTTTGTTTATCATTTGCGTATGCTTTCCTCTAAAGTGTGCATAAATAAAAGGGTGTGCAGCCATGACTAACACTGACCAACAAACAGAAATCCGTCGGATACCGCATAGTGTAGCTGACTCCTAGAAGTGAACCAGTTTAGTCCTTATTTTACATAAAAAGAGGCAGCGTGCGATGTAGAAAACGTACTACATCAAATACCTGGCTGAAGCTCTCTGGGACTCAAGAGTTAATGCCACGTTATCGTTCCCGAATTTCGCACCTCAGCCACACAATGTTTAGTTGAGTTTCGTGAGTGACGGTACATACTTCAGACACCTTATCACATAAAAATGTCTTCTATTTTTTAGTTCGCTGACTGGATTGATGACTCAGAGATGAAGGAGGTGTTCGTCAAAGAAGCCTGCAATGGAATCAGAGGGTGTCTTACCGTCTTCATTCCAAATAATCTCGCCGTAGAGGCCATCACCAGTACACTGAACTGGCAAAGCCTCCCACTGACGAAGAAGAAGTATATCGTCAGTGGCCACATTTTTGATGGTTAGTTTCAACATGTTCCATTCGGTTGCGTAAGCATGGGCTGTTTATCCTCACTTTGGAACAATATTATTAAGCCAAACTGGTAACAAGCGACAAGGTCCAGTTTTTCTCCCATGGTGCGTGTCTAAATTACTAGTCATGGAATAAGAACTTTTATCCTGTTTATTTACTCTGGTCACATTACCTGGTGAGGACATAATTTGTAGTTATTTACATATTCCTAAAAAAACAGCACTAAATAACACCCCTTATCAGCCGATAAATATCCAAAGAGCTTAAACATTAAGAAGTTTCTTGTCAGTTGCTTCACAGCTGTCATGGTATGGAACCAATCCGATCATCCGTAAACAAATTATCAGCTGGCCAATTCGCTTAGGATTGCAAAAAGCTACGCAATCCAACAATTCGCATTTGGGAACACGGATGTGTTGGTTAACGGAATGGCAAACATAGGGTGCGCGCATGACTTGTGCCCTCCCAAGATCCAACCGAGTTTCAGTAAAACCGTAGCTCGGAAGTTCTATATAAATCACCGTAGAAATAGAAAATCGCATCGCTTACGCAAAATGCTAAGCGCTACTACGCAAATGCGCTGCTACGCCAGCGATATCGTCATCAGATCACATGCATTGTCACTGGCTAATCAGACCATCGGTCAAAGTAGCATTTCATACGTCATTGGATGAATCGAAAAAAAATCTAATTTAACCGTATCTTCACGCGCTGGTGTTGTAACCTGTCACGTACGCGAACGATTTCGATCCGTTTACTTCAGCCGGGCGCGGATTGGTCACCACTCAAATCAGCCAGCCAATCATCTGACACAAGCCCCCGATCCCGCAACGCGAGTTTCCGTGAGTCTCGTACATCCCTCAGTTGATTGATAAATCTCCTGCTGTTCAGACGTCTTCTGCTTGCTGGGATTACGTGTCTCGGAAGTGTGCCCTAGGTGCTTAGTGGTACTACATTTTAGAACCATTGTACGAATTCAATGAGGTGAAATGCGATGTTCAACAAGGATTACGGATGCGGCTACGCACAAATTCGATCATCTTCAACGATCTCGCGCATACCATCGAGTCCCATTTTCTGCTTTTGCCGATGATAGCAAGATATGACGTACAATCCGTAATCAAGAAGATGGTCGCCTACTACAACGAGGCTAGGCCAATGATTCTGATTGTTCAGCGAATACGCTAATTCTGTTCGACGTGGGGAAGTGCAAAATTGTACATGAAAGACACAAGCCCAATAATGTAGATAAGCTTGGAGCCCGCATCTTGAAAAACGCCTCACAAGAGCGTGACCTTGTGGTGTTGATACAAGACGACATCGGCTGTTCGGCGCAGTCCGTGAAGGTGTCCAAAACCGTAAACCAACATATTGGTCTCTTACGAAGGGTGTATGGACTGTTTGATCCTTCCATCTTCCAGTAAAAGCTCAATGCATACATAAGGCCTCATGTAGAGTACATGATTCAGGCCAGACAACTCGCACTAAAATGCGATCCGTTTGCACTGGTGACCCCACAGCGAAGAGTAACCGAAATTTCGAACGGCTTCTTTCATCCACCATAACAACTACGACTGAAACTCCCAGTTATCACTGTCTACGGGCGACCTTATTCTGGCGTACCAGATCTTGGAAAATCCGATCACGCTTGCCGCCACCTAAAAGTTATCTGCAGCACAAAATTGAGTGGTTAGCAGCTGAAATTGGCAACCCCATACAGTCGGCTGGAATGCAGCCGTCACATCTTCTGTCAATGTTTCTCAGCCTTGAAATGCTCCTCCGACTTTAATCATGTCTACTCGCACGGCTTCCATTTAAATAAAAAACGACTTGATGATGCCCTACACTAGTGGCATCACGTGAGTGTCAACAAGGCGGAAACAAACGTTATGCTCAACATCCTACACGAAATTGAGGTAGGCAGGTGTTGCAGGTGCGTTAATAGGGGTAAATTTATAAATCCACATATCCGCGGTCTACCTAAGGGACAAATTGTTTTCTCATCGAAATTATGTACTTCACACAGACCATTCCATGAGACTTGCAGGATCTTGGCTTTTCCCACGTGTTCTTCCATAATTCTGGTGCTCAACTCACTGATAATGTTACTGTAGGCACTACTGACACCTTCCTGATGAGAAATCAGATTTTCATAGGGCACAGGGGATGCGAGTTTGCAGTATGTCGTTTGTTTTCATCTTCCAAATGCCCAGTCACTTAGTGCTGGGGGTGGGGTAATTAACCAACTATAGTCGTATTTGACCACTGATGCTTGTGAACCATTGCCCGTATCTGGTTGGAACGCCAAGGCAGCTAAATAGATATGGTTGGCGGCATCCGGTTTCGGATTTGCCTGTCACTGTGGCCAGCCACAGGACGCCTGCACCTACATAGGGACCATGGGTGGCTTGCGCTGCACCACCCACAGCTCCATCCACACACCCCATATCCAGTGTAAACCCGAAGGAATAAGACCGGGAGGCATGTGGATGGGAGTCATGTTTCATCAACGGAGCCGGCCCACACTCCTTCACAGGCAAACACATGCACGCGGTATTTGGGGAATCAAGCGCACACAAGGCGGTGGCTGGACCGTCGTCCGCTCCACACTGAGTGCATGGAATCACTCTTCGAGCCTAGCACGACCACAAGGACTGTGCACCCCGTCCCCTCCAGCAACGACCAACTGTCTCCTAGAGCCAGTATGGATGAGGTAGTGGGTAATAGACAGGTGGGCACCTTGTCAACATGCACATCAAGCGCAGCCTCACCGGGGATATCAAACAACAGCCAATCACTTGAGAGAAAGATAACCAAGAAAATAAATCGACTAATACATTAAGAAAGGGTAACATAACTTAAATTAGTGAGCATATGAAACAAGTTGTTTACCAACGAATACAAGGTAAGTTCACGAGGTCAGGAAGTTTATTTTACGTAGATGCTACAAATACGAAAATGTTATCGAAATAACTACAAGTGGCTTAAGCAACGTGTGTAAGTGTATAGAAGTGAGTATAAGTAGGCATTTAGATGGGAAAGAAAAGCATTAGGACAAAGCATTGGACATGCAAGCACGCGGTTAGTAAATCGAATGCAGCGCACCTACAAACGCTGCGCTGATTCTGCCTACGTTCTCTGCAGGACCCGTCGTCGCTTCGGTAGTAGTCCCGAGTGGCCTCGCTCATGGCTCACTAGGCCTGCTTGACTCAGGCACTCGCGAGCGCATGTGCTACAGCACCATGCGCTCGATGTCGATGGAGTACAATCTATCGGTTCTTGCTGCTTTCGCAATTACCGCTTCTTCTCTGCATGTATGAAGTCTTTCTCCCGCACTTCGGCGACTGCCTTCACGATTAGATCGCGCCATGCACGCCGATCCACCGTCTTCGACTCCCATGACCTGCAATCAAGATTAGAACGTGAGAAGCTCACTGATCATGTCCTGGTAACGTAACTTTGGTTTCCCCACATGCCGCTAAATAGATAAATACATAAATAAATACATAAATAAATTTGATTCTTGAATGTTTCGAGACACGTCATAGCATGCATGATCAAAAGTGTACCAGCAACGACGTTTCGCAAACTTAAGGGTGGAGTGCATTCAACAACGTAAAAAGTTAGTTTTTGTGGGAAGAAACATAGTTAGTGCTGTGTTGATATTGTGGGATCGAAAATGTTTAACGAGGTTATGTACAAATGTGTGAGAGTACGTATCAGAATTAATAGTATGTGAAGTAGGGAGATTTTCTGCCAGAGTGATACAAAGGACAGTGACTTCATTTGGTGGCGAGTCACCTCCGCCATATCGCAGTGTTGTTAAGCAGACATTTGTGGCTTTTTATAGAGCGAATTCTTGCCAGGCGAAAACCCACCGCATCCCGGAACATTGCCGCCAATCGTGATTTGAGCCGAGTGTTACTGGGAAGGCTGCACTCTGACCGATTTATCTCGCAGTTATTCGTAGTCACACTGCATCCAATATCTTCCGTTGGCTAACCGAGTGGCTTAGTCAGGGTCCATCGTAGTTGGTCGAGGCCAGCGATACTGGTCGAAGATGATGTACAGTCATGGGAATAGAGCATTGCGCAGTAGGTAAGAATTTGGAAGTAATGACGTATTTGTTCGCGTGTCCATGTCAAGATGGATGACACACGGGCCAGTGGGTTGCAAGCACTTTCCCGTAGAGAATTTTCACTGTTAATCGTTTTATCCATAAATCGGAAGAGAAATAAGAGGACCGAGCAATTATACCAAGGAATCTGGCTAACATAGTGTAATTGTATTAAAGATGCTGCGATGTGTAAATGACAGCCATAGTGATGCTATTGACAGATAAAATTGTTTTGTAACGGGTTTATTATTTAGCGCTTATCTCCAATACCAGTTTGACAGTAGCTAGAATTGCGAAATGTCAAACCGAGGCCAGAAGGTGGCTATATACTTGTCGATTGAGTACAGTCGGAAACCAGGGGATACAGTGAGGATATGGCTGGATTTAGATATTCTTCGGTGGATGAGTAATAGCAAGGAGCACAGAATGACAATCAACTGCATGGAGACATGCAAATAAGCAGCCGAGGCGCTGCATCGCGATTCGTGATTAACTGGTCCTAGATTGCAGGTAGCTGAAGGCTCGTGTACGCTTATTACGTGAGAGCTAGATGTCAGACTCCACCCACGTCTATCTACGAAAAAGCAAACGTGGGAATGAGCGCTATCTCTACGACACTACACTGAAAGCAAATAGGAAAGCTTGCAGAAAGAAACAATAGGCGAGAGTCATGTAATGAAACACTAATTCGCTGCGTCGCGCAACCTGAGTGAGAGGTGCTAGGTTGTTAGCGAGAGGGGGTTTGAGCACCATGAGTTTTGGAAGGGGCTGTTGGGATAGATGGATTCAGGTTTGAGACTGAAACCCGGAGGTGCGGCAGACGATAAGCAATGACTGGGAATGACAGCCACACAGATCAAGTGAGCCCTGA